CACACACCAGCACGGGCTAGGTCAGCGCGCACACACACACACACACCAGCACGGGCTAGGTCAGCGCGCACACACACACACACACCAGCACGGGCTAGGTCAGCGCGCACACACACACACACACCAGCACGGGCTAGGTCAGCGCGCACACACACACACACACCAGCACGGGCTAGGTCAGCGCGCACACACACACACACACCAGCACGGGCTAGGTCAGCGCGCACACACACACACACACCAGCACGGGCTAGGTCAGCGCGCACACACACACACACACCAGCACGGGCTAGGTCAGCGCGCACACACACACACACACCAGCACGGGCTAGGTCAGCGCGCACACACACACACACACCAGCACGGGCTAGGTCAGCGCGCACACACACACACACACCAGCACGGGCTAGGTCAGCGCGCACACACACACACACACCAGCACGGGCTAGGTCAGCGCGCACACACACACACACACCAGCACGGGCTAGGTCAGCGCGCACACACACACACACACCAGCACGGGCTAGGTCAGCGCGCACACACACACACACACCAGCACGGGCTAGGTCAGCGCGCACACACACACACACACACACCAGGAAAGGGTAGGTCAGCACACACACACACACACCCCAGGAAGAGGTAGGTCAAAGCACACGCACACACACAAACGCACACACACACGCGCGCGCACACACACCAGGAAGGGATAGTTCAAAGCGCACACATGCGCACACACCAGGAAGGGATAGGTCAAAGAACACACACCCCAGGAAGGGGTAGGTCAAAGCACAAACACACACACAAACACACACACACCGGGAAGGGGTAGGTCTCAGCACACGCATGAACACACACACACACCCCCCCCCAGGAAGGGGTAGGTCAGCGCGCACGCACGCACACGCACACGCACACGCACACACACACACACTAGGAAGGGGTAGGTCAAAGCACGCACATACACACACACCAGGAAAGGGTAGGTCAGCGCGCACGCACGCACACGCACACGCACACGCACACACACACACACTAGGAAGGGGTAGGTCAAAGCACATGCATGCACACACACACACCACAGGAAGGGATAGGTGAAAGCACACGCACACACACCAGAAAGGGGTAAGTCAGAGCGCGCACACACCCCCCCAGGAAGGGGTAGGTCAAAGCACACACACACACACACACACCAGGAAGGGGTAGGTCAAAGCACACACACACACACACACACACACACACACACACACACACAGCTGGCGGAGGAGCCCTTGGAGCTGCTGACCTACTTTGGCGGCAGCATGGGCCGTGCGGTGGGCACCCAGCGTAAAGCTGCCTGGCGCAGGGTGTCAATTATTCATGGCCAGGCCATGTTAATGCATGTGCTAAAGGTTTTTTAAAATCTCCTCCATAATTTAGAGCCCCGCAGCCCGGCCGCGCTGGCCTCCGGCGTTCCCCGGGGGGGCTTTCCGCCTAGGTGAGCAGAGCAGAGATGTGGCTGGACCTGGCAGCCGGAGGAGGCGAAGGAGGAGAAGCCAGCCAGGCAAGAGCGCTGAGTGACCGCCCCCCCCCCCCCAGCTCTGAGAGAACCCAGCCCAGCGACAAACCCGGCCCATGCCAGGGGCAGGCCTGGGACCCCAGAGCCAGCCTGGAGGGGCTCAGGGCAGGTGCTTGGCACCCCCAGGGGATGCTGCCCCCCGCCCCACCTCCAGCCAGAGCAGGCGCAGGCAGGAAGCAGTCCTGTGCCAGCTCTCGGGGGTTCACCAAAGCAGGGAGCCCAGGCGGGAGGTGCTTGGAGCAGACCAGCGGAGGCTCCGGCTGCCCTGCTCCGAGCTGTCTCCTGCCCAGCGGACGTCAGCGCAAGCCAATTCCCAGGCACTGGGGCCAGGAGGGCTATTTTTAGAACTGACTTTTTAAACTCCTCGGTTTCACTTGTTGCCTTTATGAAGCCTCCCGGCTCTGCAGCCGGAGCGCTGGGCCCGGCTGCTGGAGGGAGAGCAGAGTCCCCAGGAGCCTAGGCAGAAGGAAGGTCCGGCGGTGAGATCAGGGCCTCTGCCCGCGGACGGCACGAAGCAGCGCAGGCCCCCAGGAGCTGGCCTAGCTCAGGGCTAGGAGGGTCCCCGCCCCTGCAGCCAGCACTTCCCAGCCGGCCATTAGAAGCCTCTTCCTGGCTGTGGCTAGCGCCTGCACCCCTGTGCCCGGGTTCTAGCATGAAGGGTCCTGGTGGGATGAGCCGCCCCTCTGCCCCCCACTGAGCAACCCCAGAGCAAAGCAGGGGGAGGGGGAGACAGCCGCAACCAGCTCCACCTCCCCCCAGCAACCAGGCCACCAACAGGCAGCTTCATTGCCGCTTCCTCGCTGCTGGGACCCCGGTGGCATCCTGGGCCCATAGCAGCCAGGCCACCTGCACCTGGGAGCCAGCTCACAGCTGAGCTCAGACGCCCCATGCATCTGGGGGCCAGCGAGGTCCCTCAGTAACCCCATCAGCTGCAGGGCCTGTTTCTGCTCCAGCCCCACGGACCCAGTGTGGTCCCTTGTGCCCACCGGGCCCTTGCATCACCCACAGGAACGCACCTGGCCCTCAGCTCCTGCCGCGGGTGAGGGGGCTGCCTGTGCTGCCAGCCGAATAGCAAGAGCTGCTGTTTACCAGAACCCGCCATGCAGAACAGGCCCCGCCCTGGCACAGTGCTGCTTGTGCCTGGAGCACTCACACCGCTGGCTCCCGCAGTGACAGCCTGGGAAACAGGGGGTGCCCTGGCGGAGCTTCGGGAACCCGGAAGGGGCCTGCCAGCGTGGCGAGCAAGCTGAGCCTGGCCAACCGGCAGCTCCACCAGCCCCCCAGCCCTTGGGGGGGAGGGTGGCAGGCTGGGCTGCTCCCCACGTCAGGAGCACAGCAAGATGGGGGGGGAGCCCTTGCCCACCAGCCCCTCTTGCCCACCACCCCTTGCTGCCAGCTGATCGGAGCAGCTGGGGGAAGCTGCTTCAAGGTAGGCACCCGGGCTCGTCTGGTCTAGCTGCAGGCCCCAGGGAGGCAGCACTCAGCGGCTGGGCCAGTAGCCAAGGTGTAGGTGATGGGAACAGCTGCCAACAGCCCAGCCCACATCCAGGCCTACCCCGGCCAATGCTGCCTTGTACCCCACTTGCTGGTGTCTTCTTCCCTGCCTTGGGCAGGGCCATAGCAGGCAGCAAGGGCTGGGCTGCTGAGCCAGCCAGCTCCCTCCAGCACAAGGGCTCAGGGACAGAGCCCCACACTGAGGAGACGACAGCCCAGGCCATTTTCCCATCTAGTGAGATCTCCGCTTCCCTGCGCTACTGAGGGGAAACAGCAAAGCAAGGCAGCTGGCGGGAGGGCAGAGGGGCCCAGGGAGTCGGCGTGTGGGGGAGCCAGATGGATGAAATCCACTGACTGATTCACCTACAGAGGGTGGGACACCTGCCAAAATCAGCCCCTTGATAAGCCCCCCCTTGTCTCAACTACAGTCTGACAGCTTCAGCCAGGCCCAGCCTGGTCCCCTCCAGCCGGGGAGGGGAATACAGTCCCTGCCAGGCCAGGCCAGCTTGCAGTGCACTGGGGGGAGTGATGCCCAGTGGGGAACAGGGCTACTAGCAGGGACATACCACAAAAGCAGCACCTGGCCCTTGGTTGTGGGAAGAGCCCAGGCAGGGCCAGCTACCTCTAAGCCTAGGGAACAGTTGGTGTTTCCAGGGAGAGGCCGAGGTGGGCCCTGCTACCACAACAGCAGCTGCCAAGGGCTTAAGGCCCTTTTAGGTGGCCCAGAACCCACTCAAGTGGGGTGGTAGCGTGCATGTAGGGGCAGGGAGGGGGGCAGGTGGAGAGCAGGGCACAGCCCAGGCATGCAGCACTGGCCACAGCTCAGGGGAACACATTGCATGTGTCATTGTACCCCATTGCTGTCCAGGGGAGGAGGAGGAGAGAGAGAGAGAGAGAGACACTCCTTTTGCCTCCAAGTGGCCCAGACCAGCCCTGAAGAGATGCTACTGGTGTTCTACAGCAGAGCTGCTGCTCTACGTGGCCTGCTGGCCACAGGCCGCCAGAGTTTACTTGTTGTCCTCAGTGCTCCCCTCTGTGTTGGCTGGAACTGGCCGCACAGAGCTGGTGGCACACCACATGCCAGTTGTCCCCACAGTGGAAGGGCCTGCAAGACCCTCATGCGTGCTCGATGTTGACAGGGAAACTGGCCCCCCTGAGACAGTCAGGGCCTGAAGCAGCTACTCCCTCCCACGCCATGCTGGGCCTACATGGCCTAGAGGCTGGACCTCAGCACCATCATGCTGTACACAGCTGGTCACAGCCTTGGGAGGGGGTTGTCATCCCCACGAAGACCATCCCTGTGGGCAGATGACTCTGCCTAGCTGGGGCCCCTTCAGCCTGAGACTGGAGTGCCAGCAGGTTGCTCGCATGAGGGGGATATTAATTGAGCAGGGGCATAGCCCCTTTACAGCCAGGGCATTGCCTGAGGAGCTAGGCCCTTCTGCCCAGCCCCGGGCCCTTGTCCACCACCTGCTGAATTTGAAAATCAAGGGCTACAGGCCAAGAGGGAGATCACAGCAAGGCCTCTGATTACACAGCTCCTGGCACTTAGGACAGCCAGGGGCAGCTCCCAAGTTTGCCCAGGAAAGGGCAGGAGCAGCTCCCAAGTTTGCCTAGGAAAGGGCAGGGTGCACACAGGGCGCAGAAGGGAAGATGCTCTAGGGCTGGTAAAATTTGTGGGTTTTCCCCTGAGAAGGAATCCAAGCTGCAGCCTGGGAACGGATAAGCCTACCGCTGCACTGCCAGCCACGCAAGTGAGGAAGTTGGCACATTTCTCCCAGAATGCCTGCATTCTGCCATTGACTTGCTCTAGGGCCTTAGGAAAGTCACTCAACCCTTGTGCCTCAGGTTCCTCACTCAGGACAGAGCTGAGAGGGAGGCCCACTAAGCCAGAAGGAGCTTTGAGATTCCTGGTGTTCAGCTGAAGAAGACACCACAGACAACAGAAGGGAGTCACAGCAGCCTCTGGGTATATTTTTTTGCATTTCATATATTATCCAGTTTCACATTCTCATAGGATCAGCAATTCTATAGCAACTTATTCTCAGAAGTCTTAATACAAGCAAAACAGCCATGGTCGTATAGAATACTTAAGCACTTCAATACCAAGCAATAAGATGCTAAAATAAAAACAAAAATTGCACAGTTTGTTTACTACGCCTGACGGAATCATGTTTACAGAAAAAACTTTTCTTTCAAGCTTTTAACTAAACATTAACTTATTACAGGATTACAGTTTCTCTTTAATAAATTGCACACAAAACACAAGTTCTTTATGATGCATAAATATTTCCTTATTACACATGGTACAAAAATACTCGTACTTTTTTGTTCTGAATTCCCATAAGGATAGCTGATTTGGCAACACTGGAATCTCTCCAATCGGAAGGACGCAGGAAAAAGTTAGATATAGAACAGCTGTAAAATATCTAAGTGAAGGGGGGAAAAACATAACCCTGACTTTAAAAACCAAGAGGAGAGAACAGACAAGAAATGAAACCCAGTGCATTGTACTTGAAAACGTTTTTCAAATCTGCTGGTGAGACCGGAGACTACAGGGCAAATGAGGAGGGGTGAAACAAGGATAGTAGTTTTGAAAGCCAAGTCTTTCACAGAAGCAAGATGAAAAAAGAAAAAACCAACCTTGCTGGATCAATAGTTAGGCCAAGACCTGTTGCTATGGTTACACAAACGCTAGAACAAACTTACACTCACACATACACAAAGTGTTTTAAATTCATGCCAGAAAACATGCAAAACTGATTGTCTTTCGTTTCCTTCAGCAGAGTGGCAGAGTCGAGGGCACGGCCGACAGGTATTGCTCTGTACAGGTAGGTCTCATTTTGGCACCAGTGTCTTGGTAGGGACAAACCTGCCTGCGGTAACCAGCAATGAGTCTCTCCATCCAGGCTTCTGCAGCACAGAAAGGAGAAACTCATCTGGGGGATCTATGAAGAGGGGAGGGAAGGGGGGGGGCGGGCAGAGCCCAGGCCGCAGAGCTGGGTTGTATGAACAGAGTCACAGTCTAAACGGGGGAAGCCCACAACTCCGTACCAGGAGACGTCTGAGGTTACTGCGGAGCGTCCACAAACCAGATGGATTCTGATGGATCCACTGCTTCATCCCTGGCACATCACTCCATGGAGAGACAAAGGGAACCAGCCAAGAAGCGACACTGGAACAGAAGAGCAGAGCGATGCTCAGGGCATGGAGACGGCCCCTCGTCACGCGGACAGAGGGCAGGCTGCCTCCTTGCTGAGGAGGTCACGTTTCCATGCATTAGAGGGACACCCGAGCATCTGATCCCCAGGCTCTCCAATTAAGGAGAGGGCCTGGAGGACAGTTGTGGCCAGCTTGCTTTCTGCTAGCCCAGCAACACTCACTCTTCGTTAAAGGTTCTCCAAGCCAGTGGGTCAGTCAGCCCTTCTGTGCAACGCACCCAGGCCAACACTGAGCATTAATGGGACCCAAGTTCCCTAGAAAGTCTTTGCACCGAGGTCTGGCCCTCGAGGGCCCTAGAACTCATTCCGTTAGTGGAAGACCAAGGGAAACTGCTACTATACTGTCCGCACAGGATGCTGTAGGAGACAGGATGCTGTAGGAGACAGGGCTGTTGAACACTTGTCACTCCAGTCAAACATTGCCTGGGTGGCTAGAGAGCAGGGACACCCCCCTCCCCCCCCCAAAAAAAAAGTGGACAGCAACACCAGTCCAGCCCCACTGCCAAGCAAAGATACTTACTGAAGAACTAACAAAACTGACGGGACTTCCATCCTTGCTGGGTAGCTTCGGAGGGAGGATACCAGCGCATCTGGAAGAGAAAGTCATCGGCCACTGTGACAACCCTGGCACCGAGACCTGACCCGCAGGGCATGGGGTCTCAGACAGCTGCCCTGAGGCTGTCCATCAGCGCCTGCTGCGGGCTGCAATCCAGACCCCAGCACGAGTGACCATGCAAGAGCCCGTGAAGTTACTGTGGCCTGAGTCAGGAGACTCCTAG